TGGCTCCTGGCCAATCCCAGAAGCACCGGGCTCCTGGCCAATCCCAGAAGCACCGGGCTCCTGGCCAATCCCAGAAACACCGGGCTCCTGGCCAATCCCAGAAACACCGGGCTCCTGGCCAAACTCCTCGCTGTCGGAAGGCACCGAAGGCCGCACCAGAGGGGAAGGGCCTGGAGAGGGAGGCCTGGCCATCTCCTCTTCTTCATGTTCAGAGCCTTCCTCCTCTGATGAGAGGGACCCACCGGACGGAGCCACAACAATCACATTCCTTTCTCTCTAGATGGATTTCTAAGATTCCAGGTAAATGAAGTCATTTGTCAGCCTTTGGACATTACAGGAGCAATCCAGAAAGTGATGTACAGCCAGTCCTCACACTTATGACCGTCACAGCATTCCTACAGTCAAAATTTCAGCATTTGGCAGCCAGCATCTTATTCCAAGACTCGCGGTGTCTCGGGTTCGTGCAATCTCACTTTGCGACTTTCAAAGCTGGCTTCCAGCAAACTAAGTCAGAGGGGCAAGTCCAGTTTACGACCTGGTGATTTAGTTCACAACTGAAAAGATTGGCTTAACAATGATGGCACAAAAGGTTAAAAAAATATTGGCTGTGACGGACTGAGCAAACCTCCTTGCTTCGGAAAGGAAAGGCTGGAACCTAGCACGACCGTCAGTTGAGGACTCCCTGCATCTCTGGGATTCTGGCGTTGGATCCATTGCAATAGTAGAGTCGCTGTAATTAGCAGAGCATGTCAGTCATTGGCTGGCCCCTCTGCATATTCCCCATGAATTAAAGCAGGGGTCTTCAAACTTGGCCACTTTAAGACTTGTGGACTTCAACTCCCAGAATTCCCCAGCCAGCCATGGTTGGCTGGGGAATTCCGGGAGTTGAAGTCCAGAAGTTTTAAAGTGGCCAAGTTTGAGGACCCCTGAATTAAAGGAATGCTGGTCTCCATCGAGGGGGTGCTGAGATCAGCCCCGTTCATTGGCCGCATCCAGGCAGTTTTCTTGAGAGCAAAATAGGTTGACCACTCCTTCTGCTCAACCTAACCCTGACATTTCCTGGTGGTCTCCCAACCCTGCTTAAATCCAAGTCTGCTTAAGCTTTTCCAAACCGGCCTGCTGTATCCTACAGGTACTCCTCAACTTAAGACCAGAGTTGAGACCAGATTGGCCACTGCTAAGCTAGGTGGTCGTTCAGTGAGTCGTGCTCAATTTTACGGTGTTTTTTGACACAGTTATTAAGCGAAACACAGTTTTGCCCCTGGAATGACGTGTCGTAAATCCGTGCCATGCACCTAAACTGTGATGGCGTGACCACAGAGGTGTTGCAGCTGTCATAAGTGTGAGGACCCATCATAAATCCCTTTTTTCATGGCACTATTGGAACTGTTGCTAAATGAATGGTGGCAATTCAAGGACTGCCTGTAGGATAATAATGATGTTGAGGAGGAGGAGGAGGAGGAGGAGGAGGAGGAGGAGGAGGAGGAGGAGGAGGAGGAGGAGAAGAAGAAGAAGAAGAAGAAGAAGAAGAAGAAGAAGAAGAAGAAGAAGAAGAAGAAGAAGAAGTTTCTTTCAATATATAAAAAACAAGAAAGAAGTCAAAGAAACAATTGGTCCACTAATGCAGAGATCCCCAACCTTTTGGGCACCAGGGAGTGGTTCCGTGGAAAGAGATTTTTCCGTAGACCGGAGAGTCTGTGGTTTTGTGTGCTGCCTGTATCCCGCATATGGGGCTTTGCTTGTTTGTGTGGACCGTTGCTGCATGCCACGAACTGGTACCAGTCCACGCACCGGGGTTGGGGATCCCTGCACTAATGAGATAAGATAGCAAGGAAGTAATGGGCAATAGAGAGAAATCAGAGTTGCTTAATTCATTCTTTGTGTCTGTCTTCACACAAAAAGATAATACAGATCAAGCTACCAAAAACATAACCATAAAAGACAGACTAGGAACACAAAAGAAGCAAGAAAATGGTAAGAGAATACCAGTCCGCTCCAGATGAGCTCAAATCACCAGGACCAGACAGATTACATCCCAGAGTTCTGAAGGAGCTGGCAGATGTGATCTCAGAACCATTGAACCATATCTTTCATAGATCCTGGAGCACTGGAGAACTATCAGAGAACTTGGAAAAGAGCTGATGTGATTCCCATCTTAAAAGCAAAGCAAAACAAAACAAAACAGATCCAGGAAACCATAGACTAATAAGTCTGACTTCAATTCCTTGGAACATCCTGAAAAAGATAATCAAGCAATAGATATGCAAACACCTACAAGCAAGCAAAGTTATAACCAGTAGCCGACCTGGGTATGTCTTATGAAATCTTATTCTTTGGCTCAGTGACTAAATTAGTGCACCAATGAAATGCAGTGGACATAATATACTTGGATTTCAGTAATGCATTTGACAGAGTAGACCATAACCAGTGGTGGGATTCAAATATGTGAACAACCGGTTCTCTGTGTGGATGCCGCTTCCAGAAGTCCATTCTGGGCCTGGGCAACAAAAAATTAGCTATTGGTTCTGCCGAACTGGTGCGAACTGGCTAAATCCCACCACTGACCATAACCTACTTATTGGTAAGCTAAAGAAATATGGGATAGACAGCATCACCACCAGACAGAATTCTAATTGACTGACAATTCACACTCAATGTGTAGTTCTCAATGGAACTATTTCTACATGGAAGGAAGGAAGCAGTGGAGTACCACAAGGTTCTGTTTTAAGCCCAGTTCTCTTCAACAACTTCATAAACAATTTGGATGAGGGGATAGAAGGGGAACTCATCAAATTTGCAGACAACAGTAAACTGGCAGAAGCCAACACCCCAGAAGATAGGCTCAAGATCCAGATGGATCTCAACAGACTTGAACACAGGCCTATGTAACAAAATGAAATTCATTATAGAAAAAAAGTAAGCTGTTACATTTAGGCAAGAAAAAACAACTGTATAGGTACAGACTAAGTGAAACCTGGCTCAGTAGCAGTAATTATGAGTGGGATCTAGCAGTCGTTATGGATAGTCACTTACATATGATCCAGCAATGTGCTAGAGCCACCAAAAAAGCAATGCAATTCTAGGCTGCATTAACCGAGGGATAGGATCAAGATCATGTGAAGTACTGGTACCATTTTATAAAGCCTTAGTAAGATCCCACTTAGAATACTGCATCTAGTTTTGGTCTCCATATTTTAAAAAAGATGTTGAGATTCGGAGTACAGAAAAGACCAGCAGAGGTGATTACAGGGCTTAGGCTAAAACATATGAAGAACGGTTGCAGGAATTGGGTATGTTTAGTTTAATAAAAAGAAGAACTAGGGTAGACATGATAGCAGTGTTCCAGTATCTCAGGGGCTGCCACAGAGAAGAGGGAGTCAAGGTATTCTCCAAAGCACCAGAAGGCAGGACAAGAAGCAATGGATGGAAACTAATCAAAGAGAGAAGCAACCTAGAACTAAAGAGAAATGTCCTAACAGTCAGAAAAATTAACCAGTGGAACTGCTTGCCTCCAGAAGTTGTCCATGCTCCCTCACTGGAGGCTTTTAAGAAGAGACTGGACAGCCACTTGTCTGGAATGGTCTAGGGTCTCCTGCTTGAGCAAGGGGTTGGACTAGACCTCCAAGGTATCTTCCAATTCTGTTATTCTTTTATTCTGTTATACGAAATTTGAGAGATGTACTGTTCCTTTCATCCCACTGATTGGAGCTTCTTCCAAGTAAAAATAGCTGGGAACTAAAAAGTAGGGATCCCAAAGGAGTTGACATTCCTCCTAAATTTTTTAAAGGACTTTCAAGTGTCTTGTTGAGAAATAAACCAAGGCAGCTCAGCAGGATTGATTGTTGTTTTCCTGCTTTGTGAGCCTATTTCTTTCCTCCCTCTGTCCTATCAGGTCCCCTGCTAAATTTTAGATGTGATGAAGAAACAAAATTAAAAATCAATTTATATCAGAAAATGCTTGGAGAAATATCTATTGGCAGCAGATATAAAACTCCACTACACAAAGTATCAAGGATATGAGCACATCCAATAAAAAGAAGTCAAGAATTTCCCAAAGTTCGGTTTAGAGATGGCTCACCTCATTGGTTTTCTTTTGATTTACTTTCCGGACTGCCCCGTTAAAAGTGCTAATATCACCTTATAAAAAGCTAATAGTGAAGCCTAAATTTTAAGCAACACCATCATAGTTTCCATTTCCTTCTCTTTTATGCCCCCCCCCCCAGCCTTCTCCTTTCCCTTACTATGCCTCTGTAAGGCAGCTATTTGCCACTGAAGGAGTTTTCTGGAGAAACAAGGGATTCCTTCCAGTCCTTGTTGGCCCAATTCCTACCTGCCAGGATAGATAACATATATTTCAAATGATGGAAGAAACGGATGCTAGCCTGCTAACTACCTGAGCCTCTGGTAAAGAGTGGTCAGTAAAGCTTGAATCCCTTCAAAGTCTTTATTCCTGTCCCCATGGTAACCTGGGACATTCTGAGATGCAAAGAGAATTTTCAGTCTGATGGTGAAAAGTGATGTCACTGCAGAAGGCAAGGAGCGCATCAGCGATGGCTATCAAGAGGAAAGTTTGGCAGGAAAGAAAACATCCCGTCCTAGTTCCAACTACTCACTTTCTCTGATGCCCAATCTCCACATTCACATAAGTAGGAAAAAGCTCTCATTTGGGCAATAGATCACTTTTTCATCCCTTCATGTTTCCTGAATTGTTAGTAATCATCACTCTTTACCATCTGTGCAGGAAGAAGGAGTTTGTAACCATATAGCTGTCAATGTTCTTAAATTTCTATCTATCTATCTATCTATCTATCTATCTATCTATCTATCTATCTATCTATCTATCTATCTATCTATCTATCTCTATCTCTGTCTGTAATCTGTCTATATAATATGCTCCCCATCTCACTATCCAAAGCAACTCTGGGTGGCATTCCTAAAGTGCTATAAATTAAACGGTTTACATCAGAGAATGGATAAATGAATTGAAAAGTCCCAACTTCAGGTCTCAGTTCACTATGTACTTGGGAGAGACCTAGGTGGTTGAGTCCTCAGTCCTGACACCCATTGATGTTGCCTTACATTTTAGGAGTATCACAAAGAAAACACCCAAAGTGTTTGGTTTTCTTGGTCCATTCCTATGCATATCTTTGGATATTGGCAATATCCAAAGCCTACTAGATGGTCTTCAGCTGTGCCAACAATTGATACACATTGCACATTGAATGCATGCACATTATACATTGAGTGCATGCACACCGACATTCCTTTGAAATATCAGATGTTTTCACATAATCTTGTTCCAAGTCAGACAATTCGCATGATGTCCAGTTCTCTCTCTCTCTCTCTCTCTCTCTCTCTCTCTCTCTCTCTCTCTCTCTCTCTCTCTCTCTCTCTCTCTCTCTCTCACACACACACACACACACACACACACACACACACACTATGCATGCATGTATGTAAATGAGCATACTTCGCAAAGCTACCAGGCTCCAGTTGGCAGCTATTAAATACTCAGAAAAAATGTTTTAATGAATAGAGTTCTATTTATCGGACATCTGTTTGACTGTTGGGCTTGCAGCTGTTGGGCTTGCAGCCTTCTACCCACACTAGTCTTGATAGTGCTTAAGCATTTCTCCAATTAAGACAAGAAACTGTTAGTTTGTGGTGGTTTAAATTCCAGATCATGTTGTGATGTGAGATGGAATACTGCAGTTGCAACTTCTGAGTGGCTTTCAACAGTGGCTCCCATGCAGAGCACACTACAACAGTCCATCTGTGAGGTGATCAAAGCATAAGTGACTGTCTTAACTTCTTCCTGTTGTACAATTGGTACATAAGATGGGTTTGTGTTAAGACCTTCTTAAGATCTGCTGTGAGTCTAAGAAGATCCTCAAATTGTATTCCAGTCCTGAGAGGAGATGCATAACACCATTCAGGACTAAACCTGAAAATTCCCAGCCCAAGGGAATAACAGAATAACAAAATTGGAAGGGACCCTGGAGGTCTTCAAGCAGGAGACCCTACCATTCCAGACAGATGGCTGTCCAGTCTCTTCTTAAAAGCCTCCAGTCATGGAGCACCCACAACCTCTGAAGGCAAGCCGTCCCGCTGGTTGATTGTCCTCACTGTTAGGAAGTTTCTCCTTATGAATGAAAGCAAATATACATGTCACAAGATAATGTTGCATGATTCAATCTGGGTCAGTTACTGGAACCAGAAGTTTAGTCTTCCGAGCTTTCAGACTCATGCTGGACCCCATCCTCTGGGAACTTCTCTCTCACCTGAATGTCTGCTTTGGGCTATTCAATGCTGTGCCTTCCTATTGGTTGATTGGTGTGTTGATGGCCAGTGATTGGCTGTTGTTTACTGGTCTGCCAAGCCTTCACCTCCTAAGTATCTGATAAGCTGGTGGTAAATCAGTGCTCCTGTTGACTAACGAAGAGCCCATTTCCCTGGCTATTTTTGTACTTACAAGGCTGATTTCTCTTTAGTTCTAGGTTGCTTCTCTCCTTGCTTAGTTTCCATTCATTAGGGGAAGGAGTATCCAAAAATGCAGTCTTTTCAGGGTTGATCTTTAACCTGTTCCTCTCCATCCAGTCTTCAATAGACACTGCCTGATTTCTTTGCAGTAAAGATGTATAATTAATGCATAATTATCATGTGCATTGAACATATTGCTGTCTTCAGACTGATGGAATACTTTTCCTAGCAGCCTAATACTGCTATTAAAGAATAGGAGCAGGCAAGAGCGTACAGTTCTGAGACACTTTATGTATCAGGCACCTCAGATTCAACCTCTGTCTATAGATATTGAGTAGACCCAACCACAGAAAAAGAAGAACCATTGCAACATATGCCTTTCATCCCTAATCCCATCAGACATCCAGCAAGGTACCATGGTAAAAGGTACCAAAAATTGAATCGGGATGGTTGCACTAAACCAGAAAAAAATCAAGGAAGTGATTGATCCACTATTGGAAGAAAATGGCAAGAAGATAACAGGCAGCATGGAGAAAACAGAAATGCTTAATTTATTCTTTGTGTCTGTCTTCATGCAAAAGGAAACAATAGCCCAATGTACCAAAAGTAACATTGTAAAAGATGGATAGGAATAGAAGTCAAAATTGGCATGAAAATTGTAAGAGAACACCTATCCACTCTAGATGAGTTTAAATTACAGGACCAGATGGATTACATCTGCATATGGATATGTCCAGCCTAACAAAGAGAAGGGCCAGGGGTGACATTAAAGCAATCTTCCAATATTTGAGGAAATGTTACAAAGAAGAGGGGGGCAATTTATTCTCCAAAGCACCTGTGGACAGAACAAGAAATACCAGATGGAAGCTTATCAAGGAGAGATCCAACCTAAAATTAAGAGAAATCTCCAGTCGGAGAGAACAATTAATCAGTGGAAAGGCTTGCCTCCAGAAATTGTGGGTGCTCCATTGCAGGAAGGTTTTAAGAAGAGCTTGGCCAGGCATTTGTCCAGAATGGCACAGGCTTAAGCTAGGGCTAGAAGACCTTCAACATTCCTTCCAAATCTGTTCTTCTGTCATTCTACTCTGGTTGCAACTCCGTCAAAGGTCATCCCAAAGAAAGATCAACGATGTCTCAGCATTATGTATGCATCTGAAACACGGAATAGATGTTAACGATCCATTTGCTCCAGGACTTTCAGGTTGAAGATCGAATGACAATTGCCCATACAGTTGAGTTTAGGGACAGCCGCTGAAGCTCACGAAGCGCCTTCCTTGGTCAAAGCTCCCTGGCCTTGGTTTTCTTGGACGGGAATGATGGAGGAGCGGATGATGATGGGAGAAGCTGCGCGGCGAGGGAGGAGGCAGCCGAGAGGCTCATCGCCTCGGGGCGCTGTCTTAAGGTCTTCGCACAAATCATCTCTCTCAGCCACGGGGAAATGTGAAGGAAGCCAATGAGGCTTTCGAGGCGCCGTGACCCTCGTGGGCTGCTATCCAGCCTCACCGGCGGTCGCCCCTCCTCTCTATCGCGGGACGTCCCCTCCACGCCTCGCAAGTGGCGCCGCGCTACTAACCGCTCCCGGGAAGCCGGGCGCCGCGCCGCCTTCCCCGGCCGCGCAGCCCAGGCGGCTTCTCCTCCGCTCGCTCCAGCCGACCGCGGCGCTTTCCTTCTCCCGGGAGCTGTCCTTCAGCACCACGGCAGCCTCCGCGGGGCCGGCGGGGAAGGACGGGCGGCGGCCGCGACCCCCGGCAGCTCCGGGGCGGGCGGCGGGGGAGGCGCCGGGCTCTCGGGCGCCGGGACGGGCGGAGAGGGAGCGAGGCCGAGGCCCGCGCGGTCCCG